GATTAATAAATATAACCTTATAAATAATATTCGATAAATAGAATATTACGAGAAATTCTATAAATCGAACGGGGCATTACACTTTTGTTCATGGCTGGTCAAATGAACAAGGTTAAACTTGATTATCAATTATTATTTTACTTTCTATGTGTCTGTGCGCACCAGAACTCTTTATACTCTCTAGGATTAGTCCAGTCCTTGTGCTGTTGCATAATGTTAGTCCTTGTGCCCTATCCATAATAAACTATATCTCCATTAAGAAACTTATGATAATTATATTCGATATTTAGATTACATTACAAAAATGTCTTAGTTCTTTGATTGTGAAAGCTACTTACTAGGTATCTAAGGTATCTATAGTAGTTTGATTTATGTGATGGAAAATGTAAAATTATCCATGAGATATTTTATGAGATGTTCAAACATGTTTTTCATTTTTTTATTTACATTGGTATGACACGACTTGATGTGTGTATTTTTATTTACTTTAGTATTTCAGGATGACAATGTATATGGATGTGCAAATTCATGATCGTGGGCCTCCGATCTCCAATAAGTTGATCATGTCATGGAAGGGATGAAGCTTACAAGTGAGAGTGACAGTGATTATGAACATAATAACGATAGTTGCTTCTAATAATTTCGATAAATTATGTTTTGAATAGTCATGTGTTTGTTTTAGGTGATCATGATAATGATCATTCTAGTTAAAGCTTTTTTTTTTCTTCTTTTTTTGTATGTTGAGTTGTGACATAATTACATGCTTTTTATTGGAATTTTTATTTATCAAATTGGTTCTATCATGATATATATATATGTGTGTGTATATATATATATATATATATATGTATATATATATAGTTAATAGAAAAAGTGCTACATTTGAATTGAAATAGTAATACATTCTACAATATAAAGTGTTGCATAAATAGTTGGGATCTTCTACAGTCAGGTCTTAGTTGTATCGACTTAACATCAGGTAATCCCCCATTTCACCGTTGGATTGACTAAAATATGACAATGAACGATGGATTGAAGGGTACAAGGCAAAAAAGAATTTTGGTAGTCTTGTACTCTGTCTCGTACCCCTCGTACTTGTAAAAATCCATTATACCATTCGTACCCCTTGTACCTATTTTATTTATTCTCAAGCCCCCACATTCTTGTGTAAATTACATAACAATCCTACAAATTTAAAATAATTTCATAACAGTATAATTACCCAAACATATATTCGAACGATTTACGATCAATATGTAATTTGTCGATAGAATTTTGTATGTAGAGATTGCAATCGCACGCACGATTCATTGAGGTAACTTTATTTGGAGAGTGAAATATGTTTGGATATTCTTGGCATGCTTATAGTACAAAACCCTTGTAGTGGTGTTATTAACATAGGTTGTTTTGGTGAAAAGTTTTACTTGGGCTTCGTATCCTTTTATTGTAATTGATTGTTACGAACAATGATTTGATGTGAGGATGTGGATTTGTTAACTAGCGATTGATTACTGATATGTTGGTTTTGTTGAATTCTTAAAAGCACATTACGTGTTTGATGTAATGCCTCAGTCGGCAAATGTTGCCATGAGTTTGTTGGGGACTAGGGTACAACTGAAAAAGAGACGAATTGAATTTGATATAATATGTGAGGTCTTTTGGGAGTGTGAGGAAAATATTGATCATATCTTACTTCAGTGTAGGGCTGTTAAGTGCTGGAAACAGAATTATTTAAAAGGGCTATGGATGAGTGGATTATGTTTACTTATGTGAGAAATGTTGAAGTACCAAGGCGATACGTTAGGCGGCTGGGGATGAGTGAGAGGTCAGGTGAGAAGAGTGAGGATAATGGAAGGGGTTCATGCAGACACAATAGGTTAGGTTTGAGGAGTTGGATTTACAGGTATGGGACTTCATTGGAAGTTCAGTGGAGGCCTATACTGTGTGTGCTCTTTAGGTACTCAAATATGCAGCCAATAATAACTGGAAAAAAAATGTGCCCTGCCA